GACCGTTAACGATGGCTACATTGAACCTATTTCTTTCATCGTGCCCCGCCGTGCGGAGACTTTCCAGGACGATATCTACCCCCCTACAACTGGTCTGAAGCCTGCTATGGGCCCCTCTGAGTGGCTTGCGGGCAAGGAGGCCATCCCGCCCAAGATTTCTATGGCCAACCTTTACGAGGGTGAGGGTCTAAAGGAGGTCACCGGAGTGCAGGACGCCCCCACTTCCACCATGGGCGCCTCTGAGCCCGAGGCGGCACCGGCTCCCAAGGCCGCCGAGCCCAGTCCCGTGAAGAAGGCACCCGAACCCGCCCCCGAGCCGACCCCAGTAGCCAAGCCCGCCCCGTCCATGAAGGAGCAGGGTGCCTCAATGGCCGCCATGGTCTCCAAGTTTGCCGACGATGAGGAGGCCGAGACCGTGGAGGAGGATTCGAGCTTTGAGGAGGTGCAGAAGCCCGTGGAGCGCCCTGCACGCTCTCCCGAAGCCTCATCTCCTTCCATCAAGGCCAGCCCATGGCACCAGAAGGAAGAGGAGGTCAAGACCCAGGCAGCAAGCCCTGCTAAGGTACGCAATCCCTATCCCCTAGCAAAATCCTTCCCCAACTAACAACACTGCAGTCTTCCCCCGTCATCACCCCCGTTGCCGCGCCCGCCGACATCTCCACTGGCGCTGCCGTCGCAGCAGACGCCGTCCAGCGCGAGATCGGAGCGATCAAGGACCTGATCGCCGAGCAGACAAAGACGATCGCCTCCCAAGCGCAGCAGATGCAGAGCCTGACTGCAGAGATCGAGTCCCTCAAGGCTAAGCTGGGCTAAGCCTTTGATATTAGTTTCCAGAACTTTGGATCCTTTAATGTACTGTATTGAATTTCCTTAGTCGTTTGTGTTGTGCTGTCTACCATTATTATCCTTAACAACACACCCCTAACACCCTATTATCGCTCCAAAAGCCCTGTCCCTCTTTCTGCCCTTCTATGTCCATAGCCCGTCATCGTTGTGTGTTATTATATTCTTGATGACCTGCAGCATGATCGCAATGTCAATGTCAATACGAATACCAGTGTCTCTCTGTCTCTCTCTCTCTCTTTTCCATGATGATTATGTTGTTGTCGATTCAGCGGTGGCAAGATTACACGAGATTGAGGCGAAATTGGATAGAATGGAGGTTTTCTAAAGGCGGGTTGGTTAGTGTGGGTAGTTACTAGTAGTTGTAGACAAGAAATATACCACCATGGTCTGTCCGCTTCATATTGTACTACCACTACTACTAGTAGTATTACGATCTCATAGAGAAGGAACAGATCAGGTTAAAGGTTTTAAATATCTCACATTCTCCATCCAGGCCTTCATTTCAGCAACAAACTAGTAGGAGTAGTAAATAAAAATAGTATATGAATCTTGTCTACAACGCCATCCATATGAAATAGCTGCAGCCGGGGGCGCCTGCAAGCACCATCTCTCTCAAATATACTAGAAAGTAATATGAAATCAATCCACCGGCAACGACCACGAATGCACGCCATGCAATTTCTGGGACCTTTTTTCTTTCTGTTCCCTCTTGGTTGAGAATTTGTGACATGAGAATGTAAGAAGTGTTGGATGATGAGCGCTTGGATTAAAATGGAGAGTAATTTTCTTGGTGTTAGATTAGGAGGATATCCCGTAAGGATCTCTCTTTTCTATGCTCTTTGGGTGATAGAGGTAGGGAGGATATGGGTACTTGTATGGAAGTACCTTGGGAGTGAGTGAGTCAGTGGTGTTAGGGGGGGTGGGATATAGAGGTGTTGTGTTGTGCATGTGTGAGTAGTAGAAGGAAGGTGAACTGATCGGTCGTGGGAAATATGAGGAGAAGTAGGAGAGCGATTACTTCCATCGACCTGCTTCACGCTCCTTCTCGACGCGCGCAGCTCGAGCGTCATCATTTTCTTCGTCCTCGTACTTGTAACTAAAGCGACGCCCACCTGCCATGGCGCGGCTGTCTCGCTTGCGAGAAGACTTTCCAGCATCACGGTCTGCATGCATGGCCTCACGACGTTGCTGTTCCTTCAGCATGCGTTCGCGGTTCCTGGCCTCTCGTTCCAGAGTATGGGGGTCTTTCTCTGGCTCTGCTGCTGCAGCTGAAGGTTTGTCCTCATCACGGTCCCGCCTGGCGCGGCGGGACTGGCGGGAGGAGTATTCGCTGTTGACGGGGGATTCAGAACGGTCGCGGCGAGAGCGTTTACGGTCTCTGTCACGCTCTCTGTCGCGTTCTCGATGGCGGTCCCGATCACGATCACGATCGCGGTCACGCTCTCTCTCCCTATCTCTGTCGCGGTCGCGATCTCTTTCACGCTCTCGATAACGATCGCGATCGCGATCTCGATCCCGACGGCGGGAGTCTCTATCTCGGTCTCGGTCTCGATCTCTATCGCGGTCCTCGTCGCGACGGCTTGAGCGGTCCTTACCAGACCGGTAACTGCGGTCTACCGCATCACTGAGCTTGATTCTAGAATCCTTGTCTTCGATCTTGGAAGAGAGATGGTCGGGTCCAGCGGCGTCGCCGTTGCGACTCGGGCTGCCGCTCCAGCTACGGTGACGATGCGAACGATGCGACCGGCGACCGCTGCGTCTATCCCGTTCTCTGTCACGACGGTGAGTGGACCTTCTGGATTCTAGAGACGGGGAGCGGATACGAGGACCGTCTTCTGCAGTGGATGGCTCTTCGTACTTGTCCTCCCGACGAGGCCTCCTTGGCCGATCTCGTCTACGCTCGGATTCTTCAGTACCACGGTTGACACTCGGAGAACGTTCACGATACCGGCGGCGACTATCGGCACGAGATGGAGGAGATCGGGACCTGGATCTTGATGCCGATCTAGCTCTCGACTTCGATCTTGGAACGGACTGTGGGCGCTGGTCCTCTTGTCCTGGGGTTGGGGTTACACTGAGAAGGAAACATCAATATTGGTTGGGCTTGCAATGGGTTGCATGTGGAACATTATTCTTACCTTTGTGAGGCTTCGGGCCTCATGGGAGTCGCTGAGGAATGTCCATGGAAGTTCCGCTGCCGGAGAATGCTGGTGTTGGGAAGGCCTTCTCGCATGGCTCGGGGAGCTGCCGGTGCACCTTCAACACCCTGTCCACGAGGCTCGGGGTACATATTAGAGCCTATCATAAATGGGGGACCGTTAAAGCCGCCAGGACGTGCGCCTGGGAAGGGACCGCGCATATAGCCACCTCTGCCAAAGCCAGGTCCCATAGGGCCAGACATGCCCATAGGGCCACCCGACATGCCTTGTGCGGCGTGGACTTGGTCTAGACTATCAATTGTCGGTATCCCACGCAGCTGATTCTCCTCCTGGCCTGGAAGCTCTTGTGTAGAGTCTCTATTGATGTTGGGATCAGATTCCCCGTTCTCACCCATGCTTTCGGCAGCAGCGGCAGCATCTCCCGCCGAAGCATCTTGAGCAGAAGTCACATCGCCACTTAGGGCATTCTCGCCGGCACCTTCCTTATTGGCTTCAGTACTGACCTCCCCGGACATGTCCCCAGATACGCCATCCTGACCATCACTAAGGGGATTATGGTTTGGGAAGTCTGGATAGTTAGCATTAGCAGGATGATTGGGTTGCATATGCCCTCCAAAACCACCGCGACCACCGGCAAATCCTCCGCGGCCACGGCCACGGAACGCGCCTCTGCCATGACCGGCATAAGAGCCATTTGGATAATCTTGGCTAGGAAACTGCTGCGGCTGCATTTGAGCATGAACTCCGTTGGGTTGAGACATATTATAACCGCCAAATCCAGGGGGGCCCCCAAACTGCGGACCCATACCATTTGCGAAAGCATTTGGATTGAATTTATCTTGGCCTCCATTCCACATATTGTTCTGTGAGCCGTCCCATCCCCCATACATCCCCTGACCCGCGTCGAAACTCATTCCCATGTTCATGCCATTCATGTTCATCCCGTAGCCTCCAAACATACCCTGATTCGCGGCCATCGGGTCCATCGCCATGCCAGGCATTCCTAGCGCGCACGTCAGTTCATCAATCCAATGTCGCCTCGGGGCAGGAGATGACGAGCGGAAACTCACCCATAGCGTTAGGAAAGTTGAACATTCCATTGTTCATAAATTGGGCCATAGGGTTGAAACCACCGTTGTTGTTCCAAGCCATATTAGGGAACATCCCGGCACCCATGCCGAAGCCCATACCATTTGGGAGCATGCTCCCCGCCGGACCTTGGGACGCTTCGTCATCGTTGACTTGGTCGGTCTTGGCTTCATCGGCTTCGTTGCCTTCACCAGATCCGTCGTGTTCCGCATCCCCAGCGTCGTTCTGCGTGTCAGCAGGGACACTTGTAGACTGGTCATCCTGCGCGAGTGGAAGATTAGCCTAGATGTAGGCGATTGATGTTGGGTGACATACTTGGGCCTGCGCCTCTGTAGGTGCTTCGTCGCCCACACCTGGTGTGTTCTGCACATTTAGGTCTCCGGCGTCCGCGGGGTTGGCGGTTTCTACCAGCGGAGCATCGACAGATCCACTGGGTGCAGGGATTTCTTCAGAGGCTGGAACTTCGGCGGCGCTCGGCACCGCAGGTGTCTCCAGTTGAGCAGGAGTGCCGTCCGCGGTTGTTGCACCATTGGTGGTTGCGGGCGTCGCAGGGGTTGCCGACTGCCGCTCCTTCTCACGCTTCTTCTCTTCTGTACGCAGAAAGGCCTTCAATGTGGTGCGGAGCGCTTTGTTCGGCTTGCACAGATCGGGCGAGATGGGAGTATGCGCGCATACGGGGCAAGTCTCCGGGAGAGAAGCCTGGCCTGTCGGAACATTGGTTAGAATGGAATGGAAGTATAACACGGAGTCGTCAACGGATGCGTACAATGTTCGCAGATCGCTTGGTCGCAGCAGGGTAAGCGGAAGGCGTTCACGGCAAGCTTATTGCACATGGCGCATCGCAGCTTGAACGGGATCTCATCTTGGGTGAGAGAGCTGTATTGAAAGGCGAATTAGTTCTCGCGCCAAAGACATGTATGACCGAAGAGCGCAAGGCTGGAATATGACCTACCTGGCGATGTCCATCAAGCCCGAAGGCTGATCTGCGACAGCCATCGGGGATGACGAGGCTAGACCGGAGGGAAAGGTAAGTCCAGAAGGGAGGTGTCAATGTGCAGAAAAGGGAATAGTAGGCAGCCACACTGGCAAAGACAAAGAACGCGATCTAATTCGCCATCAATAGGAGGTGGCAGCCATTCCTGCTGGCGTCGCTCGGAAATGCAAAGCCCGTGAATCGACAATCGGGGTGAATGTCGCGATGGACAATCTGTGCCTGTTTGACCAAATTTGGAGGCCGGAGGCGGGCCGGAGCGGAACAACCGCCTGTCCGAGGCTTTCCGGCGCATCGCCCCGCCCTTCTGCTTCTCTTCTCCAGCGCCTGCGTTCGGTTGTTTCCTGACTGGAAGGTGACATCGATCATCTGGTTTGCTGTGTGGTTGCCCGTTCCGTGACGCTGAAGTTGTTGGTGGATACTGCTGGCGCTTAGAAGGATTGGGGGTGTGGATGAGATCCTCTTTACGGAACAACTTGCTCACCATACCAACTACAGAAGTCCAGCCTCATCATCGTCCAGAACGTGCGGTTTCAAATAAGACTTTGTCCTTTGCAGACCACTAAATAACTAAGGTTTGGGACCAGTCATAGGGATATTCAAGGCGGCACGGCACACCGCCAACTGCGGCGAACTGGACCCCTGGTTGTCATCCATCATCCATCCCTGCTGCGCGCCACGAACTCAAGGCAGACGAGTTACCTTGCGACTACATTGTAGGATAGGATTCCAGATTCCAACCTGGGTTACGGAAGGGCCAGCGCTAGACCGACTCTGGGAAAGAATGCATTCTCTAGCTCTATCTCTAAATTACCTACTAGGTAGCTGTCAGAGAGAGGCAGATCTGCTTCTCATCTCCGACAAGCAAATCAAATGGACGCAAAGTACCGCCCAAGGGAAATCAGCGACGCGCTGTCAGATTAGATCAAGTTATTTACTCCCTCACCGAAGGGGTACTGCTATCAAATAGCAATAGCACAGAGAGATCCGACGGCGGCGATACCTTTGGTGGGTCTCTGCGCGCCAAATCGTCCTTCTCCCCCGATCTCTGGAGCTCTGTTTATCATCATCACGCGTCTTGGTGGGGGATATCGACCAGAGGGATAGATAATCTGATGAAAGGGGAAAGGAACAAAGACATGGAACAGGAACACAAGATAGGTGATGACATGACTATCAGAGTCATAGTCACTAGCTCCCGCATTAGAGAGCTACTATCTACAGGGTCAGGGGGACACCAACACCCCGACCGAGCAACAAATGATGCATGGGAGAAGCCGTAGTATACGATCTGTGGCTTTGCATCATTGACGCAGACTCGACGGGTGGGATCACGCGCGGCAAAAGCCAAAAGCAGGAGGGGGCCAATCAGGGAACGAACCATTTAACCAGTGCCTCCGGGCGGGGTGGCGACGAGAGGAGTGGTTCGTTCGCAGCTGAGTTGACACCCCGAAACTTGTGCAGTTGAGACTCATCCACGGCCTCACGATGAGGCAGCAGCGCGTCACAGAGTGATGGACAAGAGAGTCGAGATGAGATGGGGGAAGATGCCATATTCTGGGATCAGTCAGTTAGAAGGGCTGGGGTTTCATGACGGATGATGCCGAATAACAAGAAACGAAGAGAAGGAAGATGGCGTAGTCATCATAATGATGGAGGATGGTTAATTAAAGAGAAGGATTTGGGGGGGATGTTGTAGAGGAAGGAAGGATGAGTGACTGGAAGGTACCACCCGTCAGGTTAGAGTCAAGCAGTTTCCGTCCGACCCAGAAAAAGTAAAAAGGGAAAAAAAAAGAAAAATCGGAGAGGGAGCCTGAGGAACAGTATTTTTAGCGCGAGCAGTGGAACAGGCAGGCCAGGGTTAAAAGGGCCGCTGCTGCTGCTCCCCCGGAAGAAAGGGCGCCGGTCCTCTTCGTCTCCTCTCTGGATGCTGGGGCCACCCACGCCACGCCTTCCGTACACGCACTTTCTGCTCTCGACCAAAAAATTTATTCAAAAATTACACCAATTCGTTCTTAAAAAAGCTCGGACCACACGCGCCGCGCGATCGGCACAAACAAGAAAAACATTCCCAAACAAATCGGTTTCACGACCACGAGTATCTTCTTCATCGCGGAAAGTGTTTGTGGGATTGAAAATCGTCTACATTTTCGATCCCGGGCAGAGATTCCTCCAGATCCTGTATTCCAGTGGTGTGTTATGCCGGCCACGGTATCAGCCTGGTAGATTTAAATTCCTCCATTCCCCAATCTGTTGTTGTCACTCCAACTTTGGCGGCCAAGGTACGAAAAAGACGTTCCCCATATTTATTCCATACTAGGCCGTTTTCCTGTTAGGCGCGCACGCGCATCGCCCATAACGCCTGGATCTCTGCTTTAAGAAAAAGAAAAAGAAAAATATTATAAATTGAAAAAAAAGAAAAAAAGAAAAAAAAAAAAAAAAACAAGAAAAAAAAAATCCCCACAGCAATGACAGACCAAGACCAATCCTATCGTCCACGATCCCCTGATTTTTCCACCTTCCAGTCAGTTCCCCTCTCACCTACCTTCAACAACCACAACCTCAACCACAACACGCACTATCAACTTCCTCACCACTCCCCCGTTTACCAATTCGGGAATCCTTTCGTCCATCGCGCTTCCTACGACGCCTCACCGTTCTTCACCCCGCAATATCAACCACCACCTCTACCACAACAACCATCGCTTCCTCATCACCCGGTCCCGCAGACCAGGGTTCCCCAGCAATCCTCCTCATACTTCCCTCCCGATCCGGACATGGCTCGTCGCTCGTCGCGTATCGCCCAAGCGGCCGAGGTCGCGCCTCACCCGCCCGTCTCCAAGTACGTCGACCCTGTCGAAGAAGAAGAGGAGTTTGTACCTTCACCTCCACCTCAACCGCAACCGGAACCACAAGAGGAGCCCGTCGCTGTAATTGAAGAGGAAGAGCCTCCGAAACCCGCTCCTGTGCCCGTCAATGTGGAGGTGAAGACCAAGTTTCCTGTCGCGCGCATAAAGCGCATTATGCAAGCCGATGAAGATGTCGGTAAAGTCGCTCAAGTCACTCCCATCGCAGTGTGTAAGTTGCCGCCCTCATCTCCGAAGCAATCATTGCCGCATGTTCGAAGAAGATCACCGCTAATCAAAATCAAAATATAGCCAAAGCACTCGAACTCTTCATGATCTCCCTCGTCACCAAAGCCGCCCGCGAAGCCAAAGACCGCAACTCGAAACGCGTCACAGCCTCGCATCTCAAACAAGCCGTTGTGAAAGACGAAGTGCTCGACTTCCTCGCTGACATCATCGCCAAGGTTCCTGATCAACCGGCCAGTCGCAAACACGACGACGATAACAGTGATCAGAATGAACAACAACCGAAACGAAAGCGCGGTGGACGTCGTCCGAAAGAAGAAAGTGATTAATTAATGCCCACTACGATTCTTGTTCTCAATTCGCGCGTCTTATTTGAAACGAACTGGCTTGAATGTCAGCTGGCATGCATTATGTGGTTTGAGGGACTTTCTATTTACTTGCGCGATGGGCAGCCATTCGATTCGATTCGATATCGATATTGATGGTTCAACTTTTTTTTTCTTTTTTATTATTATCCTTTAGACTGGGTGGATAAGAGCGGGCGCATACTCGACTTGACTTACTATCATACTCTTGCTACTACTTCTGCTACCACCGTTTCTCTCTCTATCTATATATGGCGTTTGTGGTAACGGGGGCATGATCAGGTTGGTTGGTTGGTTGGTTGGGCTTGCATCGCGTGATGTGAATACTACTATTTGCTTATTTCCTCGATTCTTTACCTTCTACCATCCCATTGGGTATCTGATTTCTCTAATTTCTTGCTTGGTTTCTTACTCGCTTGCTTGTCTTTACTACGCGAGGAGTGACAAGCAGTCTGTACTGTATGTGTGTATCGATAATGACTAAAAAGGGAGCCGGGAAGGCAAGGGGGGGAGTCAACTTACCATGCTTGTGTTGTGTTGCATGGACTTAGCTGCGCGTGTACCTATACTATCTACTTAGTATACTCCGCCGAATGTATGATCTACGCGTAACGAGACGCGTAAATACGAATGATGAAGTAAACAACATATGATCCGGCTTAGTTAAAAGTGTAGCAAGATTAACTATCTTTCCTTACGCATATTCCTATCCATATATCAAATACATGACGATTCCAGGCATAACTGAGTGAGATCTTTTCTAACTACAAGTGCCCCAATTGATGTCACATGACACTGCATGCATTGGGATTGTCCGTTTATCTCAGTCACGTGTCTACATAAACGATCAGGTTCGATCATATTTTTATAAGGAAGGACTCCCGAGTAGGAAGTGAGTGGTAGTCTGATTGTGTAGTAGTTATCGTGGTAGGCTAACCACTAGCAATTCGGTAATATCCACTGTAGCTAGTGACGTAGATAGTTGTGTTAGTTCAAATATATATATTTCGGATCCATCTCGTTACTATCATGATACTACTGATAGTAGCTAGAATTCACAACCCTAATAGTACTTACTATTAGGGGCCAAATTAGTGTTTATGTGATTATTATTATGTTATTGTATATTATTAATGTACAATGTATAGTAGCTATGATTAACCACTGATTTTATATAATTGTTCCTAACTGTCTATCACTATTCAGCAACTGTACCTCAACGGGTGTTACTATTTACTGCTCTGACAAGAGAACTCCACAGGGTGGTAAAAAGACTTTTACGGTTGACTTCTAATTGGCAAGAATGTTCATTACCTGTCATCATGAATGTCGACTAGTAGTACAGTAAGGTATTAGACTGCCTAACAGGCACTTAGGCAGCCACTAGTAGCTACTACGTACCCTGTGATAACTACACCAGTCTGTGTTAGTTTCAGACACGATATATTACCTGAAATAAAACAAGATATAATAATGTGTATATATTCCATCCATACAATCAGTCAGTCACCCATAATCGCAGGTCCCGCCCACGACTTTACTAAACATCCCTATCAATACAAACAGTAATTGACTATGCCTCAACCGTGGCAGTATCTACAGGACCATCTATTTCCGGGTATCCCGCCTCTCCAAACAATGTTCCCCGCGCCTGCACAACAGCCGACGTTTCTAACAAGAACTCATAGAGAATGACTACGTTGGTCAGGACATGCCCCAGAGTCGCAGTGCGGGGTTCTTCGTCGACGACCGCAGTGTCGCCCGCGTCGTCGTCTGCTTCGTCAGTTGCTTCCTCCGCAGTGGTATTGTTGTTGGCATCGTGAGGCGCATCATCCAATGGGAATGGCTGTTCCAGTCGCTGGCGGAGTTCTTCAGCGGCGGATCTGCGCGCCGTGGAGACATCGCGGGGCGGTCGGAAGGGGAGGTCGCGGGTGGGAGAGCCGATGGCGTCGCGACTGGGAGAGGAGGTGGCGGTGCTGGAGAACTCGAGGGGTCGACTTGACCGGCCGCGAGGGGACCCATAGTCCGAGTCGAGGTTGGATGTTGGGTGTCGGGAGGAGGAGCGGGTAGGAGGTGCGGAGTTGCGCTGAGAACGCCCGGACGCTTTGGCGGGCTCGTCGTCCTGGTGCAGGAGATCGCGACGCGCGGCGACGAGGATGTCAAAGTCCGGCATGTCCTTGCGCCATTTCTGGATCTTCTGCAAGAGCTTCTGAAGTACCGAAGTGAGGGCTGGAGTGTCGGCGTGGGACCAGGAGGGCTCTTCGTAGGCTCGCTGGATCTGTTCAATAAGGGTCGTCGAAGGGGTTTCGTCTGAAGATATGTTCGTTGATGTGCTGTAGATGTACTTGGAAGGGTCCACGAGAAGCCAGCCGTCAAGAGCAATCAGGTGCGAAGAGGCGATGCTCCCGAGGACTTCGGTCAATGCCAGGTTCACGATAACACTGTTCGTGAAAAAGTTTTCTAGGCAATTGAGCAGCTCGCGCACAATGGGGTCGTCGTGTCGTAGCTCGAGTGGCAGGCTCTCTTCCGGGTAATCCTCGGCAGGGGGAATGCACAGCCGGGCCTCTAGAATTGCCATTCCGTCCTTGAGGTAGTTATCATAAGATTCATTCAACGTAGGGTCATCAACGGTAGATGTGGCCATGTTCATAAGCTGTTCCAGCTCGACATTCAACGCCCCGACAGTCCGTTGTTTGGCATGCTGGCCAGGAACGGTGCGTATTAATGATCGTGCAAAGGTATGGTGCCGTTGCAGGACGGTGCTCATGACCCGCAATGTCGCCAGAACAGTCTGTCTATTTGTCGACTGAAGTCCAAGGAGGGCAAGATCTCTCAGGTTGAAAAGCGACGGCGAGGGCCGCGCAGCTTCTTCGGAGAAAGCGGCCAAGACATCTAGCGACTTGCGTCGGCTGGCAGACATACCTATGTTCTTTCCGACTGCCGCAGGCTCCGAGTCAGAGGGAGACGCAAGCAGGAAATGGAGAATCCGGTGGACCAAGTCCTCCTGATGTACAGACTCGAGAATGCGATACAGGTAGGTAAGCACAGCAGCCGTTGAACCCCCTTGCACATCGGAAGACTCAAGTAAAGACGGGTACCTGCATGCGTCATAGTGAGCAAGCGGCATTCCAGCAACCATACAACCGAACTTACAAGAGTTGTTCCAGGAAGAGAATTTGGAAATGATCCAACAAAGTCCCGTTGACCTCCGCCGACTTGCAATGATCAATAGTGTCCTGCCAGAACAACAGATACGACATGAACGAATCCATCGACATGCCCAGCACTGGCGGAAGAGCAGTGTCTTGCTGCGCGTGATCTGACAGTGCAATGATATGAGGGATATTCTCGTCCGTATTCTCCGGGAAGGTCAAGCTTTTGCAACAGATATCAGCCACTGGACCTCATCATCACCACGAAGAACCATAATAGAACTCACCTGCCCAATTGACTATACAGCGCACCCAATCCAGTAGCCATAAGCGTAGCAAGATCACTCTCAATCAGCCACCTCTCAAGGTTCTTCGACCTGGAAGCTGTCTCGATCAAATAAAGCAACCCCGTACGAGCAAAATCACCTGCCCTACCAGCATGATGCACATACTCTACGAGTAGGTAGAACAACGGAAAATCATCCTTCCTCATTGCACCCGCAAATTCAGTCCCGATGTTATTACCATTGCCCTGTTCGCGTTCCTGTTCATCAGACCGCGGGGCGAACCACGCAGGAAGAATATTCGGCTGTAGACGAATATTGTTAGCCACGCCGAACAGTAGCTCGACGAGTCGTCCCTCAACATCCTCCGAGTGTTTATCCGCACGTCGCACTAAATCCACCAGTGCGCGGGCAAAGAGTCGATTATCGACAATACCATCGACCTCCGAATCGATGAGGGTGTTGAAGAACACGGTCGCGGATCGGAGCATGCCATCGTCGTAGGAAGACAAGGCGAGCTTAGTGACCGTGACGAAGATCTGCGAAGAGGAGGCATATGCGAGGCATGGATGTGGAGCTGGGCCGCGGGATTCGTCGCTCAGCACGGAGATGAGGCGATCAATGCAATTACGCGCGTGAACGGTTGCGGATTGCTCGCCGGTGGAGGAGTTATTGGAGCGCCATATTTGCTAGGTTTGATGAGCAGGAAAGATCACGAGGGGATAGCTAGGAGGAGGAAGAAGGGCCGACGCACCTGAAGGGTATTGCATGTCCGCTTGAAGGACGCCAATCGCTCCGTGGGAGTGGACGCCCGGAAGCCTTTAGTAGACAGCGAGCGGGAGCCCCCGATGAGACGAGACCACTGGAGGAATTAGCTGAGGGACGGCGGTAAGGGAAAGGAACGGGGGGATTCGTACAAAGTCCATTGTTCTGTAGGAACAGCATATTACTCCGGAACTGGAGCCGACCCAAGTGGAGTAGAGAGTCCGCGGGGAGGTCGAAGCTGAAGATTAATCTCAAGGCCGGCGATGCAATTGCTCGCCCGCGCAAAAAGGGGTTAGTGCCGCCTGCCAAATCAGGCCTAGTTGTGATGCCTTATCAGTTTACCCCTTTTGGGTTAGATTCCTGGGACACTACTTACTTAGGTACCTCCATAACATTTCCTATTCTAGAAGCAACTATAACTACTACAACAATCATGAACCACTATCACAACCCATCTAATCATGAGCACCAACCACAGTTGCATCCAACATCCAACCGGTATATAAATCCTTGATACAGATGTCTTTACTCAATACCCCTCGTTAGCTAGTGGCACCCTTCCCGCCCCATTTCCCACCGCCAATCCCTCGATATACTTCGTCAAAGTATCATCCAAAACACCCCCAACGAGATACTTGGACAGAACGTGGCCGGCCATTTGACCATGTGAAATAAACCCACATCTAACCACATCTTCTAAGAGCTCGGTGGTCGTGTGTTCTTTGATGGCCCGCTTAATGCGTCCTGTTTATACACGTCACAAGGCATAGTCAGCATCTATAAACGGAGCAGATGGATATGTGCGAAATTCAAAGATCAAGGCCCACATACGTCTCAGCGCCCGATGGTAGGGCTTGTTGATTTCGATGACCCATTCCTGAATGGAGGAGACTGGATATCGGTTTTTGAGACCCACTT